TTGCAACTGGGCTAAAAATATGGCATTTCGAAATGACCCAAAAATTATGTTCTAGTCACGTGATTTGAATAATGTTTTCAGATAAAATATTAGATATATGGGACATCATTTTACCGTTTACAGATTTGAGCTAGCTCATTCCGTTTGGAAGATATTGTAAATTCAGACTGGAGGAAAGATATCGGCCGCCCATATATTTACTTTAGCTAATACTATATCGTAATTTACAATAAATACTATGTTTACAATACTAATTAATTAAATTGCTTAATTATGACAAGCATTTTGCAATCATTAGCATAATAGTGACCAAGGTGACGCTAACAAACAATGCATGTGAACTACCACATTGATTTTTGTCATCTTCATAACGATGGTCGCTGCAAGTTGTCCAGTCAAACAAATGTATTGTATAATTTAGCCATTGTTTCATTGTATCATAGTTTTCATTTGTACCAGTGCACATTTTCTAATAAATAAAATACAGAAAAATAATTACATGGTAGATTGAATTGTCAATATAAAAATATAAAACTTATAAATAAACATTACTATATTTAAAATAAAATTTATATTACCTTGCCAAGTGTATCGGCGCAATCATAAAATACTGATCTAGCGCAACATTCATGTCCAACATCGTTTAAGCCCATGGTTGTATTAATTTTGTCTAGATCAGCATCAGGTACTATAGCTTTTACACATTTCTCTGTATCTGATTTGATCTTTTTAAAACATCCATCATTTTGCAACTCGTTCGCCGGATTTTTGCATTGTTTTAGACCTTGTTTATACGGGTACTGTGTGCACGTGGTTGAATTCACATACGCCTTGGCCTTCTCTAGCGACCACTTCATATTGTCATATAATTGAGCCAAACATTCATTCTAGATTAAATAATTTACTATATTATTAATATATCAAAAATACTAGATTAATATTTCAAATAAATAAGTATTTTTTATGTAAAATATTAAGTTCCAACATAGATTTACAAAGTTTAAAGTTTAAAAAGCCCACTAAAAATTTAAAATCAAATTAATAAAATTACTTAAATTAAAAAGTGTCTTTAATAAATACATTATTTGAGGTAAAACATAGTCCATGTTAAATAATCTTACCTTTCCAATTGTGTTGAAACAATCGCTGAGTATAGAGAGGGCACAACACCTGCGCTCAACCCATTGGAGACCAAAATCTGATGAATATTTCAATAAATCAAAGTCAGGAACTGATTCCCGAACACAACTAAAGCCATTAAACATTATTTGCTTAAAACACGGGTCACCCGTTAAGTCGTTTAAAGGGGTTCCACTGTATTCATGAATTAACATATAAAATATAGCAATATAAAATTGGAGCTGGTACATATTGACGTGGAATTTACTGTATTGAATCAATACTCAATCAATTATTGTTTGAAGGTTAGAATTACAAGTTAAATTATACTATTTATACTATTTTTATTATCAGCAACACTTCAGTTTAACCATGGTCACAAGTCTTTAATAGATATTTAATGCATTGTTCATGGTACAATGTTTCATATTATTGCGATAATTATTGTATAAATCAGTATTACCTTAATAAAGCGATGACTAATAAGTGTATTGCAAACACAATTTCATTTCGTTGTTGCCATATTTTTAAATAGTCTACACATAAAACTTGTCAATAATCTTTAAGCCTTGCTACTTAATATTGTCAAGCATTGTTATTTGACTTAAAAATGTTGATCAAAAAATATCTATACTATGAACTCATATGCATTTACTAATAGGTAATGAGATGAAAAATTAGATGGGTAACTGCATAAAACTGTAATATTCTATAAATAAAATAGTTTCACAAATTATCAATACGAAAGGGCTGCTACTAAAAGACCCTTCACTTTCTGCCCTTCACTTTTTTATGCAGTGTTTGCATTTTATGCGGTGTTTGATGCGCCCAAATGCCGGCTAACCAAATGAAGGGCGAGAAGGGCGACATATTTTTCCGTCAATTTTGACATTTTTACGGGAAATTTATTTTGATAAAAAATTTTCCAAAAATGATTTTTTTATATTTAAAACTATAAAAAATGTATTAAATTTAATTTTAATTAACATATTTTTGAAAATATTTTGAAAATATTTTTTTTCCGTAAAAATGTCAAAATTGACGGAAAAATATGTCGCCCTTCTCGCCCTTCATTTGGTTAGCCGGCATTTGTGCCCATCAAACACCGCATAAAATGCAAACACTGCATAAAAAAGTGAAGGGCAGAAAGTAAAGGGCCTTTTAGTAGCAGCCATTTCTAAATTGTGGTTAAAAATTTTGAAACATTTTATTCTATAAACAAAGTATCGTAAATTGAAATATCTAGTTTAAAAGGATTTTATGATTATTTGTGGGTTTTATTGGACTATAAAAATTTGACTTATATCCTTAACAACATGGGCACTTTACATCACTTTATCTGTTTGTGTTGATACATTATCTTAAATTAGAAACATAAATATCAAAATTTTACGACATTTATGCAATAAAAATAAAACTGTATTAGCATTATGTGAACTGACATGGTGAGATTTGATGTGGATTTACACATTAAACACTATCAGGTGTTTAATCCAATTGTACTGATAAGTGTAGTCACGTACGCTTTTAATTACGCACTTTTAAATAATGTTACCAGGATTTTTAAATTTCTATTTAATTAAAATTTACACAATTTTAGACATTGTAAAGCTTATATAATTACCCCGACATCACTGCATAATTCAAACAACAATCTATAAATAACTAATAATTAGTGACACATTAAGAGATTAACCGAGGGTTAAGTTTATATTTTCAATAAGAATTACACAATAAATATATCATTTATTTAGTCGACTTATATTAAGCCAATATAATCAAGATATAACTCGTTTTGTGTAACCAAACAATAAAATATAATATAAATAAATTACAGTCATTACTTCATAATGTTAGACACTTCCCTTCCATGTCGAATATATTCTAGGAATTTATTTTTGGGAGAAAGGATATCTTATCTAACTGGGAAAATAATATAAAATTTGGTCAAATGCTGACCATTCGATGGATATAAATAGTTTGTCTAACTGTATACGTGTATCTAAATATAGATAAGCATATTACATCAAATGATTTTGTTAAATCTATTTAATTGATTTATTTTAAATTTATTTTTGATTCATTTTTATAACAAAACTTAAAAAGCGCAAAATATCTGGACCTTAATTAGCATTTATGAATACATTGGGTCCATTTTTATATCTTACTAAAAATTCCAATATTTTGATAGAGAAGATATTAGGTAAATACGAATCTTCCCAAAAGTGTCTAACATTATTTCTTCATAATTTGTTATCAAATTTTCAATATATAATTGTGCATATAAGCACAAGTTTATTGTTCATTTATTTGTGTTTTAAGAATTTAAAAAAAAAATTCAATAATAATTTTACCAACAATTAAAATTTTTTGCAACTTATAACAATGAATAAACTCGGTGCTGGTGTCTTAATGATCATGGCATTTTTTGTATTTGCGGCTAATTGTGTTCAGATACAGTTTACTCAAACATACACCAAGGATGATGACGGCAACGTTTATTACAGATTTAAATGCTCCTACCAATTGCACCCGGGAGATGTGTTCAAGAATTTGATCTACACATTTGATAATTCCATATTTTTTAAATATAATTTAACAGGCGCATATGGTGAGTGTTTTTAAACAATCAAGCACTATTTAGCCTTCTAGATAATCAGATAATCATAAACTATTTTTAACCAATTTCAATTTAGTGACCCCTATTTCGGGAGTTAAAGGTGTTAAACAAGTAAAAGACGGTGAAATAACTATTGACAAATGGACCAAGGGTAAGTATAAATGTGCGATCGATGCTTCAACTCCTGGTCGCGTA